TTTTTAAAAAATTCGTTCATTGTTATAATTTTTTCAAGGAAATTCATTGTTTAATACCATTAATATTCATATAATTTTATACTTGAATATAAAATTAATTATTTTTGATACATATTTATAATTTTAAATTATTACCTTCAGCTCTGTACAACATTGTCACCTTAGAATAAAAAGGGTTCTAACGCAATTTTTTGAACATTTTTTTTTAAAGGAACATTATAAAGGTAACTACAAATGTTTTAACTCCTAAACGAAGTAGTTACACTCATTATATAGTGAATTAATTTANTCCTAAACGAAGTAGTTACACTCATTATATAGTGAATTAATTTAAATAAAAATTAAAAGTTCCATATAACTGTATGATAATTTTTTTTTTTTAAAACAGTCTACTAGAATAATCAATTGTTTTGCATTGTAATCTTTTCATTCTCAAATGACGAACATTGTAGCATCATCAGCTTTTAAATGTTTAATTACGCGGGATGGAATAATACATAGATTTAAAAATTATACAATTATATACAAAAATTTATTAACCAACTATTGGTTTAAAAAAAAATAACTTACAAAATATGCAACGGTCTGTTTTATTTAGGAATACAATGTAATATTTAAACTATTAAGAAAATTTGTTCTGAGTAATATTTACAACATATTTGGATATAATAAAATTATTTTAATATACACACAATCTGATTTTGATTTCAATTAAATTTAAATAAATTATTTATACTAGTGTATATTTAATTAATAAAGAGTACTGTAAACATTTAATTTTTAAGTAAAAAATAGTATATTTCGAATTTCTAAGAATTTTGGATAAGAAAAGAAATGACTGTAATTTCTCTACAACACTTAAATATATTTTACAATGTATAATTCGCATTATTGTTTTTGTATAAATAAAAAAAAACTTTACCCTATACAGTTTTTTAATAAAAATTTATTCTGTTATTGCTATTTACACTTTTTTTTTAGTTGTGAGTTAAGATTAATATGATTACAACTAATTTTGATATAATTCTAAATTAGTTGAATACTAATTTTAGAATTAAATTTGTAATTATTGATTACACTAACTATAGTTAATGGAATATATTGTATATTTCCTTACATTTATATAAATAAATAAATATATTTTTGTATGGATGTTCTATACTATAATATAACTTTCATGTTACAGTTGTTATTGGGTTAGACGAGTGTAAAGCAGAAGCAGACAGGGGATCGGTAGTATGTAACGAAAAATGTCGGTATGACAAATATTCTGGAGGTAAAGGTTGTTCTCTTTTTGAATCTTCTCGCTGCTTTTTAATTTTTAAATAACCTAATACAGAAACTAATACGATAAATACCACACAACCTAAACAGCTTCCAATAATTAACCCCAGTCTTCTGGTTAGTATTGAACTCATATACTGTTCATCTGAAAAAAACGTTAAATCCCCGTCTAATGTTTTAATTTCAGCACATCGGCTGCTTTCTGTATCACTAGGTAAAAAATGAGAAGTATTTTGTGGTATCCAATTTCCTAATCCAATAATACAAATTAGGTACCTAGTTTCTGGTGTTAAATTATCAATGAATGCTGTTTGAGCTTCTTTATCAATGAACTTGCTCATATGCTGTGGATAAAAATATAATATAAAGAATTATACAATGATGTTATATGTAAAAATAAAATTTAAACTTACAGTTGGCGATAGTGCGACAGATGATATGATAGCTGCTGGAGATCGTGGATCCTCAATTGAATAATATTCCAATTTATAGCCATGAAGTCCAGAACGGTTTCCATTTTTCCACGACAAAAACACTGAATCCGGTTGAATATCTTGAATGGCTAATCTATGTACAGCGGGAATAGCACAAAAATGATGAGGCTCTAAATCAACAAATATTTTGCCT